GGGGATTTAGCTCAGCGGCAAAGCGCCTGCCTGGCAAGTGCAAGGTCGTGAGTTCGGTTCCTGGTACCGGAGAAAAACCAAAAAAAAAAAAAGGCCATACTTCCAAAACTGATATACAGTGTTAATACAATTCCAACCAAAACATAAACGGTATTCCTACAGAACTAGAGAAGACAATCCTAAAATTTATATGGAGCTAGAGGAGACCCAGAATAGCAAAAGCCATACTGGGAAACAAGAGGAAAACAGGGGGCATCACAATCTCAGATTTCCAGCTATATTACAAAGCTACCGTGATAAAAACAGTATGGTACTGTCATAACAACAGACAAGTGGTTCAGTGGAACAGAACAGAGGAGGTAGAAACAACCCCAGGCACATTCAGCTATTTCATATCTGACAAAGGGGCCAAAGAACATACACTGGAGGAAAGACAGTCTTTTTAACGAATGGCACTGGAAAACTTGAATATCCATACACAGAAGACTGAATCTAGAATCATGTATCTTGCAATGTACTAAAGTCAAAATGAACCAAAGATCTAAATGTTAAAAGAGAAATATTTAATCTGTGTCTTAGTTACTTTTCTCATTGCTGAGACAAAACACTCAACACCCAAAATTAAAGGGGAAAAGGTTTATTTAGCAGACAATTTGTAGAGGTTTCAGTCCATAATTGGCTGGCTCCCCCTTGGCAAGGTGGCACGTGGCAGAGGGGCAACTGTTAATGGTGGCAGAAGATAGCAAAAGCAACAGTGAAGAGAGTGACATAAGCCTCCTTCTGTCCCTTATACTGTACCCAGTCTACTGGGACTAGGGTGGTGCCAATCCAGTCAGTAGACTGATTCAACAATCACCCACCCTTAATCCCAATTTTAATCCCAGCATTGCACTGTATCAATCCCAGCATTGTACCTGAATCAGTCACAAACTCTAGATTCAGCCACCTCTGAAAAAAGCCCGCTCCCTGATTGCACACAGCTTTGGAGGGATATCTAGACACACACCATAACCATCTGCTAAAAGATAAAATACTGTAGGTAAAATTTTTGAAGACAAAGGCATAGGCAAGGACTTGCTAAATAGAACCCCAATGGCACAAAAAACATTACCAAGAATCTACAGGTGGGATTATAGCAAATTAAGAAGCCTCTGCACAGCAAAGGAAACAACAGAGTGAAGAAACTATCTGTAAAATAGGAAAAAATGTTTCCAGCTGCATCTTGGACACAGAACTAATATCTAGAATACATAAAGAACTCATAAAAAGTAGACTCCCCCAAAATAAAAGACCCAATAAAAATGGTTAACTGAAATGAATAGACACTTCTCAGAAGAAAAAGTATAAATGGTCAATAAATGCACAAAAAAAGTTCAACACCATTGGCCATTACAGAAATTCAAGTAAAACAACACCAAGATTCCATCTTACCCCCAGAAGGAATAACTATCACCAACAAATCAAATAATAACAAATGCTAGCTAGCAAAGCTGTGGGAAAAAGGGAATCTGTCTACATTATTGGTAGGAATGTAATCTAGTACAACCATTATGGAAATCATTATGGAGATTCTTAAAAAAACTAAAAATAGAAATCCCATTTAAACTAGCTATTTCCCTTCTAGGTATCTTCCCCAAAGAGTTAAAGACATCATATTACCATGACATTTGCATACCCATATTTATTTATTTATTTTGTCTTTTTTTGAGACAGAGTCTCGCTATGCAGTTCAGGCTGGCCTTGAGCTCACTTTGTAGCCCAGGCTGGCCTCAAACTCGCAACAATCCTCCTGCCTCAGCCTCCAGAGTGCTGGGATTACAGACATGCACCACCATGCCTGGCTTGCATACTTACATTTATAACAGCACAACTCAAAATAGCTAAATCTTTGAAGCAGCCTGTATGTTCATCAACTGATGAATGGATTAAGAAAACATGGTATTTATACACAATGGAGTATTACTTTGCCATAAAAAGGCTAAACTTGAGTCACTTGTAGGACAATGGATGAATCTGAGACCATAATGTTAAGTGAAATAAGTCAGACACCCAAGCTTAAATACTGCATGGCTTCTCTTCTATAAAAAATCCAAATTATAAATAAAAGCAAAATAAAAGATAGATAATAGGAAGTAGGCAGATCTTTTGCAAGTGGGAAGGGGATCAAGATTTGGGAGTAGGGACAGAAACAGGATGAAAAGGGGAATTAGGATGTGTTGTGTACATGGACCAACTCTCCACAAGGAATGTAATCATTATGTACTGCAAACATGCGCTAATAAAAAACAAAAACTGAAAAACCACATATATGTGTATGGTGAAAAAATAAAGATTGCCTGTGCCTCAGGCAAAACTGCAACTGTCCTATTACCCCTGGCGCCACCCACTCCCTCATCCTTCAGGTAAAAGGGGGTTTTTAAAGGTTTCTTGAATGGCTTCTCGACATACTCTCACGGACAGATGTCTAAACTTTGCTAAGAGACTAAAGCAAGCTTGTGTGATCACATTTTTTTGTAAAAAGAAAATTATAAATGAGTACACATGCACGTCTCCCCATGTCCTCCACACAGTCTCTATAATACTTATATATGCACAGAAAAGTCTGACAGACTTCTAAACAATATGGTACACTGAGCTGACTTAGCAATGGCACAGAGAAGTGATGGATTCTAAAACTGTAAAAACAGTAGAAAATGAGAAAAATAAAAAGAAAATGAGACTATTCAGAGGAATATATTGTACCAGTATTACATTATTTGGTAAGGGAAAAGAGATACTAAATAATGTTAAACTTTGTTATTCATGTGTTAAAAGTTTAGAGGTAACCATTAAAAAAGTTAGTGACCGAATGAATAATTTCCAAACCTGTTATGAAAAGATTGACAAGAATAAGAAAAAAAAACTGATTAATCTAATGAAAACCAGAAAGAGAGACCACATAAAGCACAACAAAAATAGAAAATACAGGATGTGAGGGCGATCTGGTTGTGACATCCGTCACCCCATTGATCGCCAGGGTTGATTCAGCTGATCTGGCTGGCTGGGTGTCCCCTTCATCACTCAATGCTGCATGTGCGTCCCTCCCGAAGCTGTGTGCTCCGTTGAAGAGGACAACTACCCCCGAAAGAGGAGGGCCACTCCTCAGTCAGGGGTATAGGAGTAGCTGCGCTCCCCTGCTAGAACCTCCAAACAAAAACAGAAAATACAAATTAAGATGGCAGAGGTCCAAATGTCAATGACCACAATAAAGTTATATTAATTTCTCCTATTGAAAAACATAGCAATAGTAGTAACTAACATTTATTAGGTATTTACTGTTCATCAAGTATTATTCTTTATATATTAATTCCATTAACCCTCATACTAAGCGCACAACATATATGCTATTATTATTATCTGTATTTTACAAATGAGGATAATAAAGTCACCAGGGAAAGTGGCAGAGCTAGGATTTAAATTACAGAAGCTAGGTGTGGTGGTATATGCCTGTAATTCCAGGTCTTGGGCAGCTGAGGCAGAAAGATCACAATGAGTTCAAGGCCAGCCTGGGCTACACCATGAGTTTAAAGCCAGTCTGAATCACAGAGCGAGACCCTGTCTCAAAAAATAAAAAATAAATAAATAAATAATGGAAGTCTAGCTTTAGAGCTGTATGGCTGCAGTAATCTAAGGGCTGGTAGCTTATTAGAAGCCCCATTTTATTCAAAAGTATATGCAATATTTACTTATTAACTTCAATATTAAGATAATTTTACTACCAATTTTGGTACAGCATTATTTGTGCACTTTTCCCTTCCCCCTCCTTTACCTCTAATCCATCCTCCTACACTCTACAATTTTTTCCATACTCACTCATTTAAACATACTTGTGTATCGGAGAGAGGTTACTTTTTTATGGGAGGGAAATCACTTTTACAGACATGGAAACTACTTCACTTTGTTTTTCTTTCAGGAATACACAATGGATATCTACCCCCGGGAAGAAACATGGAGCTTAACTTACCCTTTTAAAAGAACTACTTCGTGATATGTCCTAGTTTGCATGTAACACAAATTATTTAACCATTCTCTTTCCGGTGGACATTTAACTTAACAGGGCAGGTCCTAGGATCACTGCAACGTCTGAGGGCACAGCTTCCCTAACCTCGTTTTCCACCAATTTCAAGTGAACTTTAACTTACATTTGCTGGCTTTGCACTGATTTATCAATGAGCAAAAACTGAATCTGACAGTAAGTTTCCTAAGGCCATACAGCCAACAAGTAGCTGGTCCAAAGCAACGGCTCTCACTCTCCATATGCTTCATAAACCCATATATATGTACGTGAGTGGACTGTCCCCGACATCTAAGCTCAGCCAATAAGCTTGGATTTGTCTACCTCAAAGGCTTCTCCGGTGCCCCAGACCTCGCTAAGCGCCTAGTTCACGAAAACATCCTACCCTCCCAAGGACCCCAGTTAGTTTAGAAAAATAATCTCTGGGAACTTGACCAGAGGCCTGTCGAAAGGAGGCCCTGTGCTCTCAGAGATGTCAGCGACGCTCTCATGATTTGAGAGTATCCGAATTTGCAGAAGCCAAGATTACCGGGAAACTCAAAAGGAGGAAGGAGGACCAGATAGTGAGTAGAATTACAATTCTGTACCACAACCAGGCAGAGCCTAGGCGCGACGCGATTCGTTCATGCCTAGTAGCCCCACGTAAGCGAAGAAAAAGAGGCACTTACCTGCAAACCTCTCAAGTCCTTTGAGCTCTAGAACCCCCAAACTCCAAACCACGTGTCCAGCTCATAGAATCCTTCGACCCCCTGAACCACCGCCTCCGGTACAGAGCCAATCAAGGAGCAGTACGTCATCACCAAGGGCCAAAAAGAAGCAAAGGTCCTTTGAAAGCAAGCCAGGAGGACCGTCGCTGTTGCCGTAGTAACTGAGCGAACACATGCCGACTGCGCAAAGCCTTCTGGGAGTAGTGGTTCCGCGGCGCAAGACTTCGGCTCTTCTTGAGTGAGTAGAGGAACTACAACTCCCAGTACAACCCGGAAGCAGCGTGGGCAGAAGAGCGGTTGTTGCAGCTTTGGAGGCGGTCCGGCCTTGAACCTGGAAAATGCTGCTGGCACCTAAGGAAAGATCCACCTCAGGGAAGAGCAGGGGACTGAATCGCTGGAAGCGGTTCACAAGGAAGCCGAATCCCCAGGTGATCCGTATCGGGAGCTTAAGAGGGCAGGGACAGCCCCGAGACGCTCCCCATTCCCGAATCCAGCCGCTGCCCTCCCGTCCTTCCTCCCTCTTCCCGCCAGTTCCTCCTTACCTGGCCTTGACTGCGCCGGGGCCAACACTGCCCTGAGTGTTGTGGTTCTAGGAGCTGTCGGTCCTGTGTAGCTCACGGTCTTGGTGGGCGGCATCTGAAAGAACTGTTTCCATCTGACGCTTTTTGTAAAACCCGAGACTGAGAGCTCTGGTAATGCCCACCAGGGTGAAAGGAATTTGCGCGCGTGGCCCTCTCCCGCCCCCATCACCAATTTTAGGAAACTTCCTGCATATTTCATTTTTTAAAAATGTTCTGCAAATCTGGAGCAACTGATTTTTATTGAAAAGGAGAAATCATGTTGAGTGCTCTGCTTATATCCCTTCCCTTGCAATTTTACGTAAACTAGCTAAATAAACTCAGTAATCCAAGTGTTTGTAAAATATATTAGTACTTGATTCGCATGGGAATTTCTAAATTCAATCATCATTAAGGGGGAGGGGTGTAAGGCTGGGTAACAGGGGGCATGAATGTGATCAAAAGAATACATCTTACTTACTGAAATCCTCCCCCAAACATGTGATATGGGGAGGGGGGGTTTGGGAGGGGATGACCAAGTTATGTGCATGTATCCGAAAAAGTCCTCTTCGTATCTGTTACCTCTTTTCATGCACCACCTCCTGACGGCACAAAAAAAATGATAACCCTGTTTTAAAATTGAAATGTATACAAAGTCAGTCACACTTTGTATGCCTTCCAGACTATCTTTTTTAGAGTCACAAAAATAAATACTGTAGATGTAAATGACAGTACTAAGACAGAGAGGCTTCTTAGCTTTCAGTTTCAGAGCAGTTTCATCAACCATTTTCACCCTTCAGTTATACTTTCCTTTCAAAAAAAAAAATCCTGTAGATGAGAGGCCTTTGCTAGGTCCCCAAGCAATTGTTTTTGTGGTTTATTTTAAAATATACCAACTACATGCACTAGACATACTCCTCTTAGTACCTGGCTCCAGATACTGAAGGGCTTACCCTGGGGCATGAAAGAAAGGTGGAAACTGAGGCTGCTCCTGTTGCAATGGATCAGTTGCATAATAGACTAGATCCAAAATAGCTTATGAACATAGACTTGATGAAGAAAGATGAAAAATTGGGACACTCTTTTAGGACTCAGAAAGGAGAGAATTTTGCTGATACTGCTCGTTGTTACTGATAGAAGATAAAAGAGTTAAAATGCAAGCTCCCTGATGTTCAGTTACGTTTTGATAGAATCAGCTCGCTGTTTGCTGCAGTGAAAGTTATTTAGTAGCACAGCTTCATTAATTAGTTATCTGTGAGATGCTTTGAAGATGAAGTGTCAGATAAGTGAAAAAGAGTTTTATGCTTTTCTTACCTCTGTCTCTTAGTGTGCTAGCAGAGATATCTCATTTCAAAAGCTCGCCTGAAGTTTTAGCAAAGCAAAAGCCTCCTTTTGTTAAGTGACCATTAGAGGGAATTCTGCAAGCTTCTGGGAGGTAGTTCTAATGATCTTATTTCTGATTTTAGATTAATGTCTGACTGATAAGGGTAGAAAATAATTTCTTTTCTGCTTCATCGTCTGGTTGGTAAAACAGTAGAAGTCAATGATTAGCTCATCTCAACCCCCCTGTTCTTGTTGACCAAATATGTTTCTGACATGGAGAAGATAGAAAAGCATCTGGGTACAGGCAACTCTTGAAAAAAGGAGACTAACATACCCTCCCCCAAGCAGAAAATCGCTTTGATAGTCTGGTTAGTCACTGCTTACTTGGATTCTTATTAAGAATGTTATACCCTGCATTTCTGTATCTTATAATCATAAGAGGTTTTTTTTTTTTTTTTTTTGGTTTTTCTCCGGTACCGGGAACCGAACTCACGACCTTGCGCTTGCCAGGCAGGCACTTTGCCGCTGAGCTAAATCCCCAGCCCCTGAGCTAAATCCCCAGCCCCATAAGAGCTTTTAAAAAATACTTCTGTCTGACCCAATCCCAGAGCAGTTAAGTCAGAATGTCAGGTACGCTTACATAAGAAATAATTTCCTAGAGACATCTTCAGGTCTCTTCATAGTGCTGTTATTTTGTGTTCTTTTATTGGTAAACTGTACTGAACTTTCCAAGGAAACATTTTGGGGAAAGACTAAAAAGGATACTTTTACATGATTTAATCAGAAGGATAGAATAAGTTGCTAAATTGATAAAGATACTGCTAGTATTAATACTCTCTCTATATTTTCTACAGCCTGCTTTTGATCCTGAAAATGTGGAGTACTGGATTAAGGTAAGTATATTTCAAAATTAGGTTGGAAAGAGAATTCGAAGTCTAGCATAATCAGGTGGAACAGAAATACTAATAGATCTCTGATTAGGACATACTTTGCTATTTGTTAGAAAAGAAATACTAATAGATCTGCAATTTGCACTTATTTTGCTATTTTTATTCCCATGTTGTCGTATATGTTGTCTCAGTTTTATACTTTTTATTATTTTTCCTTGTTCTGGTGCTTTTCATGAAAGCATTTATGTGTGGATGATGAAAAAACAGGTGTGTGGATATGCCCTTTCAAATGTCACAAGTATCCCATGCAGAGGATGAAAGGAACAACAGAAGAGAAGCCTCCTTGGGTGCTAAAAGACTGTACTATAGTTACACTGACACAGGGGACCAATGGGTAAAAGCTACATGCGTATCACAAGAATTTTCTAATGTCTTGAACAATCCAGAAATGGAGTAAGCATCCTCATAAAGGGATGTTTTCTGTCACTGGAGGTATTCTGGTGGACTGTAAAAGGACACTTAATTTTAGGCTAATAAAGAATATATTTGAACATACAATGAGAAGGGATTGGGTTAGGTTACTTCCGAGACCCCTTCCAGTCCTCAACTGTGTGTTTCTGAGTCCAAATGCCATAGATTGAAAGTGCCTTTAAACCACTTCAGGGGCATGCCTCTGAGTATCAGTTTTTCTGCTTGCTATGTTCAGTTCAAATGTGTACTACAGTTCAAAATCACACAGCATTTTTCTGGGAAAATGTCCTCTGCTGGGTAGTATTTTGAAGGTATTACTTGCCTAACTTGATCTGCATCATGAACACAAAGCTGGATGGGCTGGTATTTATTAAGTGCCTACCAAGTACTCCCCAACTACATTGAGCGCTAGAGCTAAAACAACTCAGGGCAAGTGCAGTCTTTGACCACCCAGAGCTTATGGTCCAGTGGAGCATGAAAAACTTACCAGAAGTCTATGGGAAAATCAAAGATGCAACAGAAGCATGTGGTGGGAAGCATTGATCTAGATGGGGCAGGAGAGGCTTCTTACTCCTGCAGAAGGCGCGATTCAGAAGGCAGGCATGATGAAGGCTGCTGGGGGAGGACCATCCAACATCCAGTGAGCCTAGCTTGCATGTGGTGTTGAGAGTTTCCCTGCCAGGTCCCTGCAGGGCTTTCTGACGTAGCTAGCTCCCTTCTCTTCTAGAGCAATCCTTTACTTAAGGTTTAAGTAAAGTAGAGGGTAAAATTCTGCTCTGTCTTATCTGTACCATTTTCCTGTTTCATACAGTTGTGAGTCAATTTGACTGAGATTTCATCACTCCTTCAGTAGCTCTTTCTCCTCTGTACCCTCAAATATCTCCTCTGAACAAAAATCAGTAGGTCTTTTATTTGACTGTGCGGTCCATTCTGATTGCTGAATGAATTAATTTTCTTACCTAAGTCTTCAGATGTAGACACTGAATTCCTTACCTTTGTATTTTAATTATTCATTATGTGCACAATTATTTTCCTTCAGTTTCCATTTCTTAGTTCAGTTTCTGTCCCACAGAAGCTGTAATTATAACTGACTTTCTGGCCAAATCCAACAGCTTCTTAATAGTTCTCAGACTTTCCCAATTTACATTTGTTACCTCCTTTTTACTCTAAAAATCTTTTATTATCTTTTCATAGCACTGTTTTCTCCTGATTGTCCTATTTCCTCTGTTCACCCCTCTGTCTTCTTTTCTGATTTTGCTCTTGAATATATTCCAGTTAGGAGTAAACACTAAACAGCTATAAGCTCTGGCACTAAGGTCTCCAGATCTACTTGAGTGTACCATCCTCTGAAAATCAGCTGAGGCCTTCTTCTACAGACAGAGCAGGGAGTATCTGGAAAGGATATGAAGAAGAGTGAACATTAAGAAAGGTTTCTCTTTAGAACAGAAAAGGAAGACTGCTCAGTAGCACTGGGGACTTCTCATAATTTTTAACCATGCTAAAATTGGTAGATGAGATTGAGCCAGGCTTGGAAGTTTTGCATTGCAAAGGATTCAAGAATGATGTGAGGGGGCTGGGGATTTAGCTCAGCGGCAAAAGCGCCTGCCTGGCAAGCGCAAGGTCGTGAGTTCGGTTCCTGGTACCGGAAAAAAAAAAAAAAGAATGATGTGAGATACTAGTTGAAACATCCATACTGAGTAGGAAGGGAAGAGGAAGACCTTTTGAGAGACTCATAGGTTAGGAAGAAAGAATGGCAAGTGGTGTCTGGAGGACTCATTTAGGTCTGATATTAACATTCTGAGAGTAGAGGGCGTGAAACAGAGATGGATAGAAGACTGAAGTTAGAGAGAACATCATCAGTTTGGTTCAAGGAATGAAAAATTCTGTGTTGTGTTGTTCAGAGGACTGCGTCAGTGGGTTGCTAACTTGGAGCTGAGGGTTAAGGCTGTTGGAATACAGAGGATCAAGCAAAGCTCCAGGCTGAGAGGTTGGTCAGTCATCGTCAGGGTTGTCGGAATCACTTAGAATCAGGTAGCTGTTTGGCTAGTCCTGTGAGTTCTGCCACAGTTCAACCAAAATGCAGCAGTCCGTGCTTTACAGTTCCTCTTCATCCCAATTTGGTAGATGAGCTCGTCTTAGTCCACAGCATTCGCTGTTTGAGCTTTCTAAACATTTCCAATGGGTCAGTTCTCCACGCTTGGACACAGTGATTCTTTGTGCCATCAGATGAAACTGTAAATTCCAGATGGCCATGTAAGGCGTTTTGTCATTTGGGCTATAATACCAAGTATCCTGAAACAGCCCATGTACTGATAACTGTGTGTGAGTCCTGCACTTATCAGGCCATTCTCCTGACCGTACATCAGATAAGTTTGTGTGTGTGTGTGTGTGTGTGTGTCTACACATGCTGATCCCTCAGCCTGGAATACCTGTCCTCTAAGAGGCGAGTTCAGTTCTTTCCCCTGTAGTTCAGCTTGAGATGCCCTGTGGTGAACACAACCCTGTCGCCCACCTCAGCTGCCTAATCTGATCCTCTGATGCTCTCTCCCTAAGAATTACTTCAGCATTTATACACTCATTTGTTGATACAGCATCAAGTATTTGCTTTTATACAACAAATTAAAAAGAATTAGGAACTTTAAAATATGCATCACCTACAAAACTACTATGAATGAACATGCAGTATTCCTATGGCAGTCTGTGAAACTTACGTTTGTAGCTTAGTCTTGAAGAAATGAAGGGCTACGTTGTAGGCAGTGTTTCTGCCATCCCTGGGGATCCTTGGGACGCAAGGGCCATGTGTAAGATCGTAGGAATAACTGAGATATTTCCCTTACAAATTATGTGCTTGGTGCACCCTTCGATTTTGAAGGTGTTCAGTTCTTTTAAAATCACTGTTTTGCCTTAGAACTCTTCTTAAGTTGTCAGTGGTGCACTTGCATATGGAACAAAACTAAAAACATGCACTTTTTTAAGAATGAAAACTTTCAGATAACCCCCCTACCCCCAGTGCAGTGCTGGAAACAGAATTAGGCTTCCACCAGACTTGTTGAAAAAATAAGATATTAAATTGACACTATATTTTACTGAAATGTAGGCTAAACCTCTCCTATCTCATATACAGTGGTTCACGAACTCAGTTCTCTCCAAGATTCTGGCCACAAACCAAACTGGACGAGAACTGAATCAGATTTCCCTGTAAAGTCAACATTGGACCTAACCACTGAATTTGATTCAATACTCATCCAATTTTGTTTGGGACCAAAATTGTGAAAAGAATTTTAAGTTCAAGAACTGAGAAACCATTATATTTACTTTAAAGAGACAGGTAAACAGGACATATTTTATTGGTTCATTTTAGATATACATAACAGTCATATTCATCATAGAGAACTTGTATCTGTGCATAATATAACTTGTTTTTTTTCACATTCCATTATCCTCCCTTCAGCCCCTCCTCCCCTCCCCATTTATAAAGCTGTGTTTCCATGTTTTCCTTCTTTTCTCATTTTTTTACTTTTCCCTTCTTTCTTTTCCCCCCTCCCCCCTTGTTCCCCTCCCCATTTGAACATTTTAAAAGGAAATATTTTAAGGTAAAGAAATATCAAAATTATTTCTTTTCTTTTTTTTTTTTTGTATCAGGAACCGAACTCACGACCTGGCGCTTGCTGGGTAGGCGCTGTGCCGCTGAGCTACATCCCTGGCCCTCAAGATTATTTCTGCTCCTTAGTATCACCTCAAAGGTGAAGAAACCTTTGTTTTAAGCAATACCCCACACAACTGCTTTGTTAAGAGCCACGCAGACATTTCTCCCTACTCCTTCATCAGTGCATATCACACTTTCCTTAGTACCAAGGTCCGACTTCCTCCTTTTAACCCCAAAACTGCATGCTCTTAAAAACCTGACAAATTCCAGCTCAGTTGAGACAGCACATCGAACGTGATTATTTATCTTACTCATTAGCCTGAGGAACCAAGTCTTGTCTACAAATGTGTGGGGGTTTTTTGTTGTTGTTTATAGATGTTAGTTTTAAAAACTAAAGTTGACCAATTAATTTGTACATTATTTGCATATACTCTATGTGTGTATGTGTGTGTATACTGCCAGCAGTATACGTCTTGCAGTCTTAGAATTTAAGAATCTAAAGGGAAGGACTGTACCAGCTATAAATGCAATAAATGACATAGACTACCAACATGAACTTGTACAGCCTGTGGGCTATGCGAATAATTGGAAACCATGCCTCCACGTGTTACCAGCCACTCTGGTTCACACATTCAGGCTTCTTTGCTTAGATTCATTCACTCGCCACCGACTAAATCAAAGGAGGCCATATATTTTAATAAGAAAAAAGGGTTTATTCAGAGCTAGTGCTGAGGAGGTGAAGGGACCCATTGGCATGGTCTCACTCTCTCACCTTGTAGAGGTGGGTGGCGTCTTTTATAGTGAGGTGCAGAGGGAGGGGAGCAGAGACCCAAGGCAGATCTTCATACTCGCTGTATCATGTCCAGCTGAGAGGTGCAGATGGACA